GATAGAGTGAGACTCCAACTCAAAAAAAAAAAAAAGAACCTATTTGCCAGGCGTGGTGGCTCATGCCTGTGATTCCAGTACTTTGGGAGGCTGAGGCGAGAGGATTGCCTGAGCTCAGGGGTTTGAGACCAGCCTGGGCAACTTGGTAAGAACTTGTCTCTACAATAAATCAAAATATGAGCCAGGTGTGGTGGCGTGTGTCTGTAATTCAAGGTATTTGGAAGGCTGAAGCGGAAGGATCATCTGAGCCAAGCAGGTTGAGGCTGCAGTGGCCATGAACATGCCACTGTGCTCTACACTCTAGCCTGGGTGACACACTGAGATTCTGACTCAAAAGAAGAAAAAAAAAAAGAACCTTCAACTGCTTCCAAAGGCATCCCTGGCACACAGCTTAGGCTCCTGGCACTTTGGCCAGTTAATTTCTTTTCTTTTTTTTGAGTTGGAGTCTCACTGTCACCCAGACTGGAGCGCAGTGGTCGGCAATCCTTCCGCCTCAGGCTTCCGAGTAGCTGGAACTACAGGCGCACCCTACCACACCCGGCTCATTTTGATTTATTGTAGAGATGAGGTCTCGCCAAGTTGACCAGGCGGGTCTCAAACCGCAGGCTCAGGCAATCCACTCACCTCAGCCTCCCAAAGGTGCAGGATTACAGGCTGAGCCACCAAGCTCGGCTTAGTTAATTTCTTTTAATTACTTGAAGTGAATGCCGGTATGCCACCCTTGTCCCATAAATATGTACCGTATTTTCTGATGAACCTCTGAATTTTATTCCTGATTCTAGGTCACCTCCAAGAATGACTCTGCACACTGTTGACAAGTGTAGGGTGTTGACCATATTATTGTTAGCCACAAAACTGCCAATCCTTAATTGTGTTTCACTTTGTTTACAAAAAAATGCTTTGAAATATTTGAGGCAGTTCATCAAAATTTATTTTTGCCTTTTCCCCATCTAGATTAGTTATGAAACAACACTAGGCTATCTAAAAAATTCTTTTTGTTAGGCGCGGTGGCTAAAGCCTGTAATCTCAGCACTTTGAGAGGCAGAGGCGAAAGGATTGCCTGAGTCCAGGGTTCAAGACCAGTCCGGGCACCTTGGTGAGACCTGTCTCTACCATAAATCAAAAAATTAGCTTGGCGTGGTAGCATACACTCAGCTACTTGGAAGGCTGAGGTGGAAGGATTGCCTGAGTCCAGCAGGTCAAGGCTGCAGTGGCCATGAGATTCCAACTCAAAAAAAAAAAAAAAAATCTTCGCTTTTAATAGCCTTTACACAAATTTTGCAAAATAGGATTGTAGAAAAGTTGCAAACGGTACAGAATTTCTGTGTATCTTTCACTCAGTGCTTCCTAATGTTAACATCTTTGTTTGTTTGTTTGTTTTGAGTTGGAGTCTCACTCTGTCGCCCAAGCTGGAGTGCAGTGGCCACTCCCGGCCACCGCAGCCTTGACCTGCTGGGTTCCGGCAATCCTTCCGCCTCAGCCTTCCGAGTAGCTGGAATTACAGGTGCGTGCTACCAC